TATATATATATATATATATATATATATATATATATATATATATATGTGTGTGTGTGTGTGTGTGTGTGTGTGTGTGTGTGTGTGTGTGTGTATTTTATATATGATCCTTTATATATGATTATTATAAAAAAGGATGATATTAATAATTTTGTTTGATTAATAATAATTATTCTGCATTCTGTTTTTTTCTTTCTTGAATCTATGGGCTTTTCTAAATTTGGTTCTGAATATTTTAAGATTGTTATACAATTAAAACTTAAAAGCCTCTTAATTACTATGCATGCATATTCTATGAGTCAGATAAATAGCAAATGTCACCTTGGCTCTATCAGTGGTCTGAACATAATTGTGAGGAAATAGGCATGCAACTAGACACTGATCAATGAAAAACTTTTCAAAGAATTTGAATAAAACAATATATGAAGGTAGGGAGATATTTCGATAACATGTATTTTAACTTGGGCATATCAAAATGTCTGTCCTGGCAGAGCCTTTACAAACAAGCAAGAAAAGATGTGCAAGACAAGATCTACCGTGAGTTGCTGCAGAAGTCTGGCGGGGTAAAAGTCAACAGATGTAAGGTATTCTTATGTGGGAAGGAGCGCACTGGGAAATCCACACTGAGAAATGCTCTCACACAGGCAAGCGGTTCTATGATTAATGCTAAATTAGTGCTATTTTGATAATTATAAATTAATGACACTTAATGACAGATGTGCTTTTATTTAATAAGAAAACATAAAGAAACTAGTAAGAGTTCCCCGATCTCATACCTTCGCCAAATAATATTAATCTTTATGACTGACAAATTATACATTAGATTATTCCCCCGATTTAACAAATAGGAACTTAAATTTTCATGAATTATATTATTTTATCATAATCTCAACCAAAAGTCTTATATTAACAAACAATGCATTCTAGTATTTCCCAATAAATTATGCAAATGAGGTCCTGCTTTGAATAAATTATGTTTAATGATGTTCACCTCAACTTAACTTTCAAATACCACAAGTATGAAATTCCAGGCAGTTATCATTACATAATTATAAAATTTTCTCATTAATTATTCAAATCATTATTAACATAATCAATATCTGCCTGCAGTGTGTTTCTCTCATTGTCAATTACCAATGTCACAAGCTTCCATTGTCTTATCATGGAATGCAGCTGATTTATAAAATTTCCCCATAAATTATGCAAATTACATCCATATTTGCATAATTGTCACTTAATTATATTAAGCATCACGTAAGCTACCTACATACCAAAAATCACGACGATCCGTCAACCGGTTCTTGAGTTATCCTCTTTTGAATATTTTCAAGAAAATATCCCTGCAGTTCCAGAGCAAGCTGCTAGGGGGCCCAAATTCATGTCACTTCTTCCCCAGCACAAGAGCTACCTACCATCCAAATTTCATCAGCATAGCATTCCTAGATCAGGAGATATCAAAAGTTCAAAATTATCGGAAGTTCAGCTGCAGTACCATAACAAGCCGCTAGGGAGTCCAAAATCTAATCATTTTGAGGTCTCATCAAGACCTACCAACGTATCAAGACAATCCATCAAGGCCTTCTCATGTTATCGTGTTTACAGACACACACACACACACATACATACACATACACGGACGCCTCTGAAAACATAACCTTCTTGGCGAAGGTAATGATCATTGATCCATTGGACTACATAAAAAAATTGATTTCAGTTTTAAAAGCTTTGAATTTATATACAGTGCTCTCCTGTTATTTGCATGGACGATTTGTCAGGGAATTTTATTCCTATAACAGGTTTAGTCCAATAACCTTAGGAGAGTCCACACGACTGACAGGGAGGGGAGGTCAGTTGGTTATGGATGATACTGGGCTGGGGCCAATTGAAACAACCACAAACATGATGTTATTGGTATTTATATACTCACTTTCACCCACAACTACATACACGTACCATATTCTAATCTTCAAGTCGCATTCAGAAACTCATAATGAACAGGGCTAACATGGAGATAGAAGATCAGACACATTCCACCTTCATACTGTCTACCCCTGTGTTTGGCAAAAGCTTACCAAACCTAAAACAACAGCCCAATCAAGGACACCAAAAAGGAACAAAGGACTTCTTCACACAATCATCATTGAGTGATTGGGGGTTCTCACCTGTCCAGAAGGAAGTGACAACAGAGAAAGTGTATGACAATGGAGGGTGCAGGGGTGATAATGAATGAATAACAATGGACTTCATGTGGATTTGCTGATGCGCAACAAGTTACATGTATTTCTTTCACGTACTTCTGGGTCAGTGTGCCATTGACTTGGAAATATTTTAGTCCAATATCAGGTTAAAGTCATAACAGCTCATGCAATTATGCCATGCAATTTATAATGTAGTGAATGGGAAATGGTTTGGGTTTTCAGAATTTTATGCAGATCCCAGGTTTATGCCAATGTCAGTGATGCAAATAGTTGGTGAGCACTGTATAATAAATGATTCTTGATTATCAGAATTTTCTGGAAAAAAAGGAAAATGAAATTAAGGAAATGGGAAAGTCAGCCATCCCATGATCTACTGAATGCTACATGTAACTTAGGAGTGGCCATGTACTATAGTCTGAGACTACTCAACCTAATGCTGGCTGGGATCAATCGACCAGGGGTTCCATCATACCAGGCTGCTTAATCTTCCATACAACAAATTTTAAACTTTCACAGTAACAGTTACAGTACACTACTGATTATTAGTAACTTAAAGATTAGATTGTAGAAAAATATAACAAGCACTTTCTTCCATTGTTGGTGATGAAATATATGTCTTACCAGAGTAAAGACTGTAACTTTTATGATCTGAAATATTGTACATTGTACATTTTATCTCTTTAATTTTTTTCAAATCAGAAAAACTACATATGTTATTAATTATAAGCTTCTGTAGCAAATCCCAGAACAAACATATCTGAAACAGAGTTGTAATTTTTTCCAAGCAGGGCCTGTTTGCTGGCTTCCCAGAACTCTTGACTGAGACTGATCACCATGAGCCAACCCCAGGCGTTGATATTGGAACATTCAATGTTCCTGGGGTGGGAGAGGTCAGCATGTGGGATTTCGCAGGGCAGTCGGAATATGGGGTAACCCACAGTATGCTCATGGATGCAGAGAACACAATTTTCATTGTGATGTATGACATAACAGACGACATAGAGACCCAACAAGAACAGGTACACCTCAAACAGCCTACGAACCTTTAGCACACTAAATTTAGATTTTTAGAATTGGCTAATAGTTTCCAATTGCTAATGGAGTAAGCAGCAGGGTGAGGGTATATGTAACTACAACATCTGAGCTTTGCAGTTTTTATTCAAATCAGAAAAATCAAATCAGTGTGTTGCAACAGCTAGGATATACAATAAAAAAAACTACAATGTACACGTCATTACATTGTATGCACAAGGCATCATTAACCTGATCTCATCTTTACAAAAACAATTGACAATTACATGACCACTTGAGAAATAAGTTGGATGGCAAAAGATTGCTATATTGTGCTTTAATCCCTTAATGCTCTCTCCCATCCATTTTGTCTGTAGTCCAACGACGTAGACTTGCCCTGTCACTGCCTGTTGTTCGTACTAGTAACAAACCAGCTGGTAGACTCAAAAAACAGTGGCTTCCCACTGGGAGACGTAGAGTGGGACGGCCTTATGCTACACTTTTGTCCATGCTAGAGAGAGACACTGGTCTCGCACTAGTGTCCACTATGAGAGATAGAGCACACCGGAGTAACTATCAAGTGTACCTCAACGGATTAAAATCCGAAGGCATGATATATCATGATGATGATGTTTGTAGATCCTACCAAGAAATTGGCCTCACTCCCATACATCTACTTTTAGGTCATTCATAAAAGAATAATACAATGATTTGAAAAAAAAAAGACGTTTTTTCCAAATATGCAATGAACTCTTAGAAAATTTGGATCCCAATTTTCAAAGTCAAATATCTTTTCAAGTGATTTCTAAGAGTATGGACAACACATTTTAATAAAAATTGCACCTAAAAACTATCAAAATGTAACACCGGCATGTACATCAAATGTGTGACAGTGCTTGCTGCACTGTAGAAGCCCTACATGGCACATGTTGTATAGAGCTATGGAAAATAGTAAGAGGTGAGAAGAAGTGAGTTATCATGCACAATAGAGAAAAAAAAGATGAGAATGATGAAAATGAAACCTGTATAAAGTCATGTACACAATCATACACATACACGTACTTGTGCCTTGTAAGTGAGCCCTGTCATTTGAGACCGTTAATAATTCACAAAGTATCATAGAGGGGCATTGAAATAAACAGTCTCATTTTCTATGCTACAGGTCCGTTATTGGTTGAAATTCATAAAGTCTTGCAGGTCTACCGGCCAACCCGATGTCATATTGGTGGCCAGCCATGGAGACAAGGTGGAGCTTAGCACAGGTAAAGTCTTGCAAAACACAATTATTATAGAATACCTAGAAATGTGTGGAGAATGATGGGTTGTGCCCCCTTTTGTTTTGTATTTTCAAAAATAGAAATGGAAAATTCAACTTTATTTTGCACAGTTACAAAAGCATCAGGTTTGTAATGTCATGATTTTTTTTTTCCATTCAGGATTTTCAGCTAAAGTTAATTTATTCCTATCAAACATAGCTTTACACTACATCACCTGACATTGTGTAGCTGTAACAAAATTGTTGATAAACAGTACATTGCAACTGTTACTGTTATAGTAAGATTATTAATTTTCATTTATTGCTACACGTCAGGTCCAATAAAATATTTCAGAATCAATAATAAATTATCTAATAATTATGTTGCTCCAACATAAATTCAATGTTGGCAGTTTCAACTAGTCACATTAAAATTATAGCCAAGATATGTTTCTTCAGAATCTGTAACAAAGGTGTGTGGTTAAGGTAATGATTGCATGGAAATTTAATGGTAAATTATAATTGTTAAAAGGTACAGTAATAGTCCCATAGAATTTTTTGGGGGTAAGGTCAGTGTGTCCAGGACATGACCCAACACCCACCTTCTATTGCCTTTTACCTCGGAGTCCCCAAATGAAGCCATGTACGTTGTATGTGTGAGTTTATTGACTCCCTTTAGTCCAATTGGGCTAATCTTCCAGGGCTCATCAGATACTCTCGACAAGCTCTTTTCTACAATTTCTCTAGTTTATTGAGATGTATACACATCTAAAAGAAAAGAAAAGATAATTCTGCTTAATACAGAAATATCTTATTTTTTTGGCCCTAATTCCTGTTTTAGGAACTTGAAGATTTTCTCAAAATTTGAAAATGTAGGAATCTTGTTTTTTTGGACCAACTTTTTTTTTTTCGCCTTTAGTTATCACATTGGATTTGGAGTCTGTGGAGGATGGCATCCAAAAAATTTACATGTTGTGGCCTAAATTTCCAGAATAAAGACTGTAATATTGTGAATAGATGGAAAATCTGCAAGTCCCAATCAATATTTGAAAGGAATACTTGGCTGTGTACAGCACCTAACAATTTCAATTTAAAAGGGTTGCATTAAAATCATGTCCAATGTATGCATGGAGAGTGAAACAGAGAGAGATACATTTGTCAATGTGGACTGTGCATGCTACATGTATGTACATTATTTCCCTTTTCAACATGCAGGAGAAGGACAAGCTTTCAACATCCTTGAGTTGATGAAGGCTGAATTCAAAGACCACCTCCACATCTCAGATGATGTGCTACTGATGGACTGCAGGAAGAGCCGGACACCTCAGATGGACCATCTCAAGAGTCTTCTTGTCAGGATTAAGAGTGATTTGCTAGAAGTGAGTACCATGTTAAGTACAGTACACAACATCATTATCACTAACTCAGTGGATCACAAACAAAATGATAACAGTTTAGAGCTCTCCAACATTGACTTCTGTTCGTAACAAAGAAAGTATCTTGTAGCATCTATAGTGGGTAATTTCTGTCTACAACTTTACAGCATCAACATGAAATTCCCAAGCTGTGTGGGGAGATTACAAAACGTCTGCCAATATGGTGCAAAAGCAAGACAAGCCCAAAGTTCCCCGTAATGATGTGGCCTGACTACCTGGAAGCAGTGAAAGAGATCGACCCACTTGTGAATGAGGACTTTCTTGAGAAGTCAACAGGATTCCTGCACAGTTTGGGAGAGGTAATATCTATTTCTCAATAAACTAACTGAAAATGAAAATAAAAATGAATCTGAATGAAGAATACCTTGTTCAGTGTACACATACATTTGTACAATGTAAGTCATAAAAATCTATAAAACAGCATAGTTATGGAGTAATGAATCTGCATGAACTTACATTGGTAAATGAAGCCATTCAAGTTTAAAGTATGATTTCTAGTCTAGTAAGAATCATTACAAATCAACATACAAACCTTTGTATAAACTCTGTGTAACACTTCCATTTTTATATCAGGTTCTCTTTATTTGCCCGGGCACTTGTGATCCAATCATCATCCTGAAGCCTAACTGGCTCAGCCAAGACATACTCGGCACAATGATGGCACCAGAGAACTTCCCCATTGCCCTGCAGAGAACAAGTGAAGGCTGCATCACCAAAGCAGAAATGCTGCGTGTATTCCAAGATGCTGCGGATGTGGATCTCCTTATCACCCTTTTAAAAGAGGTGCTGTTGTGCCACTCCTATGATGGGCAGACCTTCATTGTCCCAGGCCTGCTGACACAAACCATGCCTCCTGAAAAGTGGCAGCCAACAAATGAACCAAATGTAATCTACTTTGGGAAGCAGGTTCAGTGTGCATGCTCAACTGACATGTTTTCCCCCGGGTTCTTCCCCCGAGTGCAGACCTGCTTCATGAGGGAGATGGTGAAACGCCCGTTGATGTGGAGGGATGGCATCAAATGTGAGGACACAAATGTGGAGGGACTGATCAAACTATCTGAAGATGGTCGTTGCCTCAATATCTGTGTCCGAAGTGCTGAGGGTGACAGGAAGCAGTGTAGTAAGATGCTTCAGCATCTGGAGAATATCATAGTCCATATGCTTGATGAATACAGCCCAGGAACAGGCACAGTAGAGAAGGTCCTCAGTGCTCGTGCACTGAAAGAACACAGAGAGGATTTCTACTCCTATGGCAAGGTGGATATTAGTAAAGGAACAGCAAGGGGTGGTACAGTTATTCATCCCATTCTTGGGTTCACAGAACAGGTCAATGACCTGCTGTGTGGAGAGGTTAAGGTTGACCCACTTATCATGCACCGAGTAAAGCTGGTCGATTGTTTGAGGCATATCCATTCAATTGTTGACCATCTCCTGACACATAACATTCTGAATTTGGACGAAAGCGATGTCATCCGTGCTGAAAGAACACCCCAAGGTCGTGCGCGTATGCTGTTGGACATTATAATTGCAAAGGGGGCACAGGAGGTGTTCATGTCAATTCTGAGGAAAGTTCACCCTCAGGCAGCAGACATTTTGGAGTGATCACAGGGTCCAGGAACAAGTTATGGGCATTAGGAGGACAAAAGCCAACATTTACCAAACATATTCCTCAATGGACGTAGTACTGAGGAATCTGAATCGGCTCTGGACCCACTGCAAACAGGTGAGGTCCCAAGTGCAAATGTGAAATGTGACATCATTGGAATTCGATATATTTCATCCTATAAACAAAATCAATGAACTAAATACATAATCTTGAAGAACTCTTTTTTTTCAATACCCCTTCCTTTGTTAAGGTAAATACAATCAAAGCATGTTTAGACCTTAGAACTAGTAGCATTTTATAAGAGATGAAACTTAACATGTTAATTTATTTAGAAACATGTAACTTGTATGTAGGCTAATAATTTTTACCCTCTTGTTTGTACTAGGTATACAGAAGTTATCATGGTAGAAGACCTCTAATGAAAGTCGCTGTACTTTTATATCATTGTGAGAAAGAAAAACAATCTCACAGATGCACTGCAGGATATCGTGGGGGAAGATGAACTTCAAGACAGATGCATATGACTGAGTGTATAGTGTTCAAAGCTATTTTGGATCACTCTACGACTTGTAATATTAGCCATGTAAGCCACACCCTGAAAGCCTAGTATGACTCTCTGCCAGTTTCCTTTTAATTGACTGCAGGGCTTGAAACACCACCTGCATAAAAATAATCATCAGGCTAGTTTAATAGTGCTAAGTAAAATCAGAGTGGGTCAGGTAAATTTCCTGATATTTACCATGAGTATGTAACCTGCACTAGCCCTGTACTAAGGGTATATAGTATGGTGAAATTTGACTTTAATTTGGGTCTTTGTTACTCCGTGAAGGAGGTTAGGACCTCCGGACGGAGTGTTGTGAACGGCTGATTTTTCATGTTCGCAGTCAAAACACTGGGTTCTCTTTGTGTGATCGGCACGCAATTTTATACGCCGTCTGCGGGCATGCCCGTGTTGATGCACGAATGTGTATTTTTGCCGTTGCTGCTTTCGCGGTCAATGTAATATTGCAGACGCACCCCTACAATTACGAGGCGAATTGGAATGGTTCAGAAAAACGCGTTGTTTGGAATAGCAGTGGGGGGGTGGAACTTCATGCAGATACGGGGTGGTTTTGATAAGTGGTTCCAGATGTTTTTGCCCATGCTTAAGAGATGCCAAGTTTTATGGAAGATGTTCGCAGCCAAAACGCATTCTTCCGTACATCGCATTTCTGTGTAATTTCGCATGTGGTGTGGCATTATGTCCGGGATGATGCACGTCTTTTTATTTTTACCGTAGCTGTTTTGATATTGGAGTAAATGGCTATTTTCGAAAAATCCCTACTTTTACAATCCTGTGGAATAGGCCGTAGGTTTAGGCAGTTGTCTGGTAGCAGAGGTTCTCTAAGCAGATATCCCGGGTATCTGACCGGCGGCAGTAACACTCGCGGTGCTGGCCGGGACTGGCCTGTTCCAGTCGCGCTTAATAAGTAACAGGCACGGTAAGATGGTGGGGCTGTCTTCGTTAATAGAGGGTCTGCATGCCCTTTTTCGTTAACCGCTATGGGCTATTTTAATTTACCGTTAATCGTTGCCGGCCCACTCTAATTCAACGTTAAGCGTTATCAGTATATTCCTCGTGAAGCGTTATGGGTCGTTTTAATTCAACGTAAAACGTAATTTGTCATCCTGAATTCAGCGTTAAGCAATGAATTATTAATGAATAATTCTTCGTTACGCCTAATTTTGCCTATCAAAGTGCAGGAAAATGCGTCATTGAAGGTTTAAAAATACAAAATTTCCCGGGGGAGAATGCCCCCGGACCCCCTCTACATTGCTCGCGCCTTTTGTGCTCGACTCGCGCTTCTGCGCTCAGTCACTTCGGCTCTAGCCAGAACCAGTTTACCCTTCAATTTCCGGAAGTTTGCGGAGAGTTACAGAATTTTTTTAACGAATCTATCAACCTTGACAGGCAAATTAACAAAAATCTCGAGTAAAATATGAAAACATCAGAAGGACCGACAAACACTCTCAAACCATGATTTGCCTCTCAAAATGCGGGAAATTGCGGTTTTGAAGGCTTAAAAATCCTAAATTTCCCGGGGGAGCATTCTCAAAATCCATCGGTAAAACTGGGCAGACTGAAAAAATGCAAGCTGGCCGAAGTCAACTCGGACACCCCGGTAATGTGGACGCACTCGGGGACCAGGGCAGGTGGGAAACACAGGGAACACATACCTTTAATGCATGCTTCATTACATGTACATTTGTAAGGTATACGTAATTTTGTCAGTGATCACCTTTTCTCACAAAGCGAGATACCAAATCCAGTGCAGCTCGAAAAAAAGGCCGTCAATTTACCGTTAAGCGTTGCCGGCCGTCCTGAATTTACCGTTAAGCGTTATCGGCCCTGCTGAATTTACCGTTAACCGTTGCCAGGACCCCCCCCCCNCCCCCATCGCACGACCCTACTTAATAGTGACACGACCATGATA